AAAGTGCTTTCCACTACTATTTTTATAAAACTATCAGCTACATCCAATAAACCAATTTTCAGTTGCTTGATTATTATGTTTGTTGCTTTTTTGTACAACTTTTCTTCCTTTGTATTCATAATTATTAAAAGGACACTTTAATTCAACTGTTGTAAGATATTTACTAAAATACAATAAATAAATAAATATATATATTATTTAATTTAATAAATAACTACTAATTAAATATACTTATATATATGTTTACATTTCTATAGAATTTTGATTTGTTAAATTTCTATTTTCTTCTTGCATAAAATTGGTATCTATATCAACTTCATAGTATAAAATATTTTGAATTTTATCACATGCAAGCTCACATCACTTTACATCTTAACAAGTAGAATGATATCTGTGTACATAATAATTCAAGAAATTACACCAAACTTTGGTATTACCATCTCTATTAGGACAACCTCATTGATATTGCATCTTAAATAAAAAATAATTAGATATATATAATATAAAATTTAAGCTTAATATATTAAATTTAAAAATTACATTATCAAAAAATAGCATTATATAACTTCCAACAATCAATATTAAATACAATTGTGATTCTTTCCTCTGAGGTAGGTGGATACTCTATTGGTAAAGCAGAATATCATATTTCGCCAACTCTTAAATTTTCAGTAATTAAATTAACTAATTCTGAATTATCTTTATCTTGATTTGCTAGTTTGCTATTAATAACAAAATATTATTAATTATATTTTATTGTAAATTTTAAAAAATAATTAATAATTTACCAATTGAGTATTAATAACTTTATAATCATCAAAAGGTGAATAAGAAACTAGATTATCCAAGTCAATAACCAGAATTTCTCTTTCCTTACTTTCAAAATTACTTTCAGAATTACTTTCATAATTACTTTTACAATTACTTTCACAATTACTTTTGTAATTACTTTCTTAATTACTCTCATAATTAGTTTCAGAAGGATCAATAAAATTATTTTTACTATAATTATTTGTATCTTTCATAATTATAAATGAATAAAAGATAAATTCATTTAAGAGAATCATTAAATCATAATTTAATTGATAATTTATATAATTGATAATTTAATTAATAAATTTTATTTAATGATTGTTTGATTGATAATAAATTGTATGATTTTTAATATATAAATTTCAATTAAAAATCTTTAAAATTAACAAATGTTATTTAAATTATACTATTAAAAACTATTGCATAGTAAAATTTAAAGTTAACTTTAACTAATTAT